GAAGTTGACTAATGAGGACAAGGAGAAAAAGGTGAACGAAAACTCAAGCCATTGTGATTAAGTGTTGCTTTGTCTTTCGCTTCAGTGAAGTGTGTGCGAGTTTTAGGGACTTATATAGGGTGTTCAAAAAGATTTCCACACGAAAACCATCCTGCAGACGATGATTTTGGCACCTACGTCCGTCAGAGTAATGACATTTTTGTTCACTTTCTACATGATGATTCATTGTTAACATTTATGGTATTACTACTTCTGTCAAGTTGTGATATTTTATGGTGATGTTTTGTACCAAAATAAAAGTGGTCCACATTTTTGTTGTGTATCGTTCTCGATGAACAGAACATGCTACCATTGAGTAGGTCTATTGTGGAAATCTTTGATTTGTTCATCTCATTTGCCTTGAATCCATGTTTTTTCTTTTATTAGGATGACTTGTACACACTGGTGCTTATCATGTAGTTCTTACAGGATTTTTGGACAGAACATGTCATTCTTCCTGGAGGTTGTGTTTCCATATTCTCATTGCTTGATAGATTGGTTAGAATTAAGCTCTGTCGAGGAGCATGTTATGCCTTCAGCAAGAAGATTTGTGCAAAAACCAGTTTCTGAAACTTAATTCTATTCTCCTTATCATGGTTTAAGTTCAATCTGCCAGTGCAACTATTAATTGTTTATAGCATACTAAACCTTGACAATTTTCAGATCAAACCGGAAGACATTTGAAATACGAAAACAATGAAATTAATGCTCAATTAACAAGCAGCACCATTTATGTTTATGATTTCTTGCTTCTTTCGTGCAACACTGAATAAGAATTGCTGTCTAATTACATGTAAAGTTATGACTTTTTTATTTGTTTATGGTAAATATGCACACGAACTTGCAAATGCATTCAATACATGGATCTTTGTAACATAGTGGAAGCTTTTTGGGGTTTTCTTTCTCTTCAGATCCTGCAAAACAATCAGAGAGGTGAAATCGCGCTCTTTTTAGGTGGAGTAAGTTTCCCTGTCGTCCGTAGCCTCCAACATCTGTAGTGAAGCCCTCGGTTGATCCATAAGAACCATGTCTCCAGCATCATGAACCTTAATGAAAGTGAGAGGACCATGATTCTTTAGAATCCCAGCTTCTTTCCCATCAATCAAAAATGGAACATCTGAAGCTGCAACGAAATCTTTCTGCCTAGACCATGACATGGCCTGAACCCATCTCGAGTTCCCTGCAAACCATTCATTATGCTTATATGTTGTGATCTTAAATTAAAGTAAACTGAACTGTGTATTTTGTAAGGAGAAAGTATTTGCAATTGAAGTGAGCCGAGAAGCCGAATGATGTGTCAACTTTGCTAATTGAGTGTCAGTATGTGTGTATTCTATATGATATGGTCTGTGTAGCATACTTGCATGCCTCTTATCATTTAGTTTTTTTTTGGCCTATGTGCATTGAAGTTTGACAGATCAATTTCTATGACTATCTTCTCGGACGAACGAAGAAGAATCTTGATGATTGTGTGAGATCATGGCGCATTGACTTTCCTGAACTCCATTATACTTTTTAGCCTTCAATCGGTTGTCTTGATTGAGGGTGAGATCAAACAAGAAGGAGAGTCACCCCTCCTTTAGCCATTTGAGTCAAGAGAGGAAGAACATGTTAAATATGGTTATGGTTGATTTGGATTTTAATTTCAGTACTATGGGCCTTGGAACCATTTGGGGGTCTGTGTCGGAGCCCCTTAAAGAGATCAACATAGGACCTTGAGAAATTTCAAGATTACCCGAGGAAGCAATAAGGGAGAAAAGGTTTCAAAGGTGGAATTTAGCAACTTTTCACTCTTTGATATAAAGTGGGTGATAGCTGATTATTGGAAATGGAGTTTGTTAGAATCTGATTGCAATGCCACCAACATTAAACACTTAGGTGGTGTTTGGTTTGCAGATTTTAGACGAATCTGATGGAACTAGAATGTTGAATTCCATTGACCAAATTTCATTCTCTCGTTTGGTTCATTCTTTTTCACGAAAGGAATCTTCAAAATCCTACAAATTTCACAAATAAAGGAATTTAACATTCCTTAGCAACTACATGGTATTTTGATGGAATGAAATCTCTATCTTCATTATACGAAATATGTTATTAACCTAAAATACTCTAATCTCATAAAACTCAATATGACCATCATCGACCACCTCTGACCACTATAATCTGAATCACCGCGGACCACCACCACCGACTACCACCGATCTGAACCACCCCCGACCACCACCACCGATCTGAACCACCACCGACTATCACCAATCTGAACCATCGCTGACCGCCACCATCGACTACCACCGATATGAACCATCGACTACCACCGCTGATATGAACCATCGAAAACCACTACCGATCTAAACCACTGCTGATGAACCACCTCTGACCACTACCGATCTGAACCACCATAGACATCGCCGATCTGAGCCACCACTGATATGAATCACCGTCAATCTGAACCACTGTCGACCATCGTCATCTGAACCACCACGGATCACCATCGATCTGAACCACCACCAACTACTATCGATCTGAAGCACCGCCAATCTAAACCACCATTGACCGTCACCGATCTGAACAACCACCGATCTGATCCATCGGCGATTTGAACCACATCCGACCATCGTTACCTGAACCACAACGGACCACCATCGATCTATATCACTGCCAACCACCAACGACTGCCATCGATTTGAATCACCGTCGGGTGAACCACCGATTTGAACAACCACCGCCGCCACCGCCTATCTGAACCGCCACCAACCACCGTCGATTTGGTTCATTTCAAGGAATGAAAATGGGATTGGTAATGATAATAAAGTAGAATGGGAATCATTATTTTTATTCCATTCTATTATATTATTGATGATTTCCTTCCATTAATAATGTTAAAAAAAATAAAAACCTCTCCCTGCCTCTTTCCAGATCTTCTCACCACATCCCTTTCTCCATCTCCTTYGGTCTCTCCCTCTCCATCGTCTTCTCTCTATACGGATGCGATCCAGTGAGTCTAGGGTTTCTAGGGTTAGTAAAATCAAACTGTGCGATCCAGCGATCTCCCTGCCTCTTTCMAGATCTTCTCATTCGATCGTCTCACCACATCCCTTTCTTCATCTCCTTCGGTCTCTCCCTCTCCATCGTCTTCTCTCTATACGGATGCGATCCAGTGAGTCTAGCGGTGCATCCAAGCGGTGATGAACAAAAAACAAACTGATTGATACCCGTGTGTAAAATCGAAGATGATGAGCACAAACCCTAACACAGTYGAAGATGATAAACGCAAACSCAAAATGGAACAAAATCGAAGATGAGGAACACAAACCTAGAAACGAACAAAATCGAAGATGATGAACAAGATCTATACCTGTATGTAAAATAGAGTATTGAACAGAAGAAGGTTAGAGGATAGTCGTTCATTCCACCCAATTTGGAGAGGAATGGTTTTTACCCCTTTCTATTATAATGATTGATTATATTACTTGCAGCCAAACATCATAAATCATTCCATTTTCATTCCCTTTTTGAACCAAACTGATACAATGAGTATCATTCCCATTGATTACCTTCTAATACCTCCAACCAAACATCCCCTAAATAATTATTTTATTAAAGTATTTTTAGTTTTAAAAAAATTAAAATTTTCAAGAAATGGCATTTTTGTCACTTACTAATATCTTATTTTAATTCTAAAACTACATTATGTGAACCAAACAAACATATTTCAATTTCTTAACAGATTTCATTCCAATTTCTACCAACCAAACAGATGGTCAAACCTGACAACATTCCATTCTAATTCCTTTAACAGATTCTATTCCATCGAAAAAATTCCAATTCATTCAAAGTTAAATTCCTTTAACAGATTACATTCAATTGAAAAACATTATGTGAACCAAACGCGAAAATACAGTTAATTGGGGAAAAGATATGCATTACTTATTAAAAATAAATGCGGTGAACGTGGATCGAACACGTGACCTTCAGATCTTCAGTCTGACGCTCTCCCAACTGAGCTATCCCCGCTTCATGATTTTAT